ACACATTTGATATTGCATTGTATAAGCTAGGTTTATTTCCAATTAAATAACTTCATTACATTTTGAAGTTCAGCTCAATTACACTCACATTTGCTTATGGATTATTGTTTGACATCATACCTCTGGCTTGGGACAGGTTGTTCAGTAGGAAAGCTCACTGTGATCATACCCTCTGACCACTCTGCTTTTGTTGTTTGTTTTTTCCTTTGGGGAGAAAATATTTGGATTCTGGAAGGGATAATTCATAACAAACAAAATTTGGTTAATAAATGGTGAGGATAGGGACGTTGTGTACATTGAGTAGTTTCAGGTTAATAGTTTGAAGCGTGAAACAGAAGCTCCCCACGCAGAGACGAGAGCTGGCCCTCAAGGCGGAGCGAATATTTAGCACGTGGTCCAGAAGGACCTTGGCCTGAGGGACCAGAAGGAAGGCCACTGGGGCTGAAGTGTGGGGGGTAGAGCTGGGATGCCGGTGTAGTCCTAGAGGACTGACAGGAGGAGGTGGTGATGTTCTTTCCATTGAGAAAGTTAAATTCTGCTCTCGTTTCAATGCTGGGTAAATGCTGAGATTTTAAACAAAGGGTGGGTGGCATCCTTGATGGCATTTACGTTTTATAAAGACCATTGTGGTTCCTGTGAAGAAAAATGGTACTTGTTTTACCCACTGGATGGCTCCTGATGTCAGGGCACATTCCTGTGCTGGATTTGGCTGTTAATAAGGGGGTTGTAATTGTATGGGGAATATAGAGATAAAATTTAAATTAAAAAAAAAGAATCCACATATTATAACTCTCAAACGGGAGTTGTCTTTGTACACACTCCCCCCACCGCAACTTCCCTGTCCACCTATCCCTCTTTAGATTAATTAAAGTTATTCTCTGTTTTGGTGGGGAAATGATTTTTCTAGTAGTGCAATAGTTTTTTAGTTCTTGCTTACTTAAATTAATTGTCCTTTCAGTGAATTGGTGGGGAGGCAAAGGATTTCAAAAGCATCCAAAAGTCTAAATCTTGGGGTGTGTAACTGAAACGTATCATGCAGATGAGAGGACTGGAAGGAAAGTCTGGGTTTAATTGTCAGTCGGTTACTTTGACAACTTTTCCCTCCAACACCCTTCACGGTCAAGGTCACCATCTCTCGGTCATCGGCTGCCTTTGTGTTCCTTGCAAGCTGCCGCGCTCAGGGCGCAGTTTCAAGGCTTCATCCTGTGTGTGCATTTTAATCCTTCAGTTTCCAGCTCTTCCTCCCTCCACTCCTGTTGTTACAAAATACACTTGTATTCCGCTGCTTTTACAGATGATTTTGGCAAATCTAAAAATATTTAGCCCTCGATGGCAGTAGAAATATTTAAGCAGAGTCCTGGTGCATGTTGAATGAGAAGGGTGTGCCCCCTCCTCATCTAGTCAAGAAGAAATGGACCACTCAGCTGGTTTCCTTTGGGTTTCTCCTTTGGCATTCCTCTCTGCCAGGAGCCCTCCACCACGCCGGCACACTTCAGTCTGCTCAGTTATTTAAATGAGTTAGAATAAAACACAAAATCAATTCTCCTTTTTCTTCTCTGCAGTTTGCCCTTTCTTATCTCCCCCTCTTGTTACTTTTCTCCTCCTAGTTTGACCTTTCCTAATTTCTTCCTGAAGGAATGACAGACACTTGCTTCCTCATTTGACAATTACATAATGTACTTGACTCTTTGGCACCAGCAACACTCAATACATACTCATTATCACACTGAACCTTGGGCCACACCATAGTTATTCACAAATGTATGGCCATAGCCTCTGCTTTGAGGGATATTAAAGGGGAGTGAAGGATGGTGGAAAAAGTATGTGGAAAATTTATAATATAGTGTGGAGACCAGTTGGTATGTGTAAAGAAGAACACTCAACAGTCTTGAAGAAGTCCTGTTGGAGGAATTGCACCTCCATCTGCCTGACCATTGAATAGAACCCCCATGGAACAGAAGCTAGCATTTTGAGGAGTGCGTGGGACTGGGGTGGGTGACTGATGTTTCAGGTGACATGGAGGTGAGGGTAAGCTGGAGACCACTGATGATCTGGGTAGAGTTTAAATATAGACTATGGATGTGTGTAGAGAGATGGGGAGGAATGGTATAAAATAAAATCAGAGACATAAAAGGTCAAAGTTTTTGTCTTTTTAACATTTATACACCCTTTTTTATACCCTGCTAAGGGTTGCGGCTGAGCAATCATGTGAAGGTTTTGATTATAGGAGTGGTATTTCATGATTCTAGTTCCGTACGAGACTGCAACTTAGTGAATGCATTACATTCAGTCAGCAGTACTTATCCAACACTTACTAAGTACCAAATATTGCAAATACAGTCATGGAAAAGACTGAAAGAGAGCCTGCCTTGGGTTCCAGAAGGTGACAATATTGGCAGCATGAAGTCTAGCTAGGAAGCTTTGGCCTGTGAGAAATTATAGTTTGAACAGCAGTGTTGTAGTAAGGATGGAAATAAGTATATATATTTAAGAGATATTCAAAAAGTACTATTGACAGACATGAAGATTACAGGATGGGGAGGGAGGTAAGAGGGAGAAAGTAGAGGTCTTTACAGACTTCCAAATGCTGACCTGCATCCTCCAGCCTTTCTGTTTAACAGCATGGTGACTTTGTGAGTGTTTGCTTTTCTGTATGTCTAGTTAACAGTTTGACCAGCTGTCATTTCTGGCATCCCATTTGGTGGGTGCAGAATGACATAGAAAATACAATGGGTCATTGACCTTGTAGTAGAGGCCATTTGCTCTGGGAAAGCTATTACCAAGAATTATGCTAAGCAGATCTTCTTGTCAGATGAGTTTTGCTAAACTGTTCATTCTGTTATATGATATGCAGAACAATAAGAGTGCAGGGATTGAATGTAGAAGGGGAGACCGGGTGATGGAAGAAAAGAGAGAAAAAAATAGCATCTTGAAACAAAACTAGTGGTGAGAGTGCCGAGATGAAGAAAAGCAATAAAATGGAAGATTTAAGATGAACATTTGTTTTACTGAAGGAACACTAAATCAGATTATTTCTCTGAGAACTTTAATATCCTGTTTTACTTTGTGGAGAAAAATTTCTGGAAGATGCTGCAACTCAAATATGCCTTTTTAAAAAATATGATTAAATTTATTGAACCCAGAATTTCCCAAATATATTTACTCACCATTAGTAATACCGCATTAGCATTCTATGGAACAGATACCTCACATAACACATGGAAGGAGATTCTGGTATACACCCATAATGATGATGATAATGGTTAACATTTGATAATGATGATAATGGTTAAACTCGACATGGGCCATCTCTTTTAGTCTTCAGACCATCAATACTAGGAGGCAGATATTATTATCTTCATTTTCCTGACAATGAAAATACTCTGGGTTATTCAGTAAGGTATACAAAGCTACATAGCTAGCAGGCAGATAGCTGGATTTTTAAACCGATCTAAACTAAAAAGTCAAAACCAGTCACTTTGTATATTATCTTGATTTGTCACGAGACAAGATCCATGAGACTTGCAGTTGTTTGTGCCACTGAAACTTCTGTGGGTCATCTCATAAATGGAACTGTCTTCTCATGCACTCAGGGACCAAACATTTTGTCTAAATGATTGAATATTTGCTATCTCATAATTGTTGAGCCATTATATATGCTAGCCCAGGGGACAGGCCTTACACATGCATTATCCCGTTTCATAGGAAGAAACTTGCCCAGGATCATATAATTATAAGCTGGTAGAACCTGGACTCCACGTTGGTCTGTCTTGGAAGTGTGCACAATTTCCCCAGGTCCAGAAATGTTAAAATATTTGTTAATTTTCCCTGGCATTTATCACTATGCTATAGTCATCATGGCTACCACTGAGTCATATTTTGGGAGATGGCATGTTTTGGAAGAGAGGTGTAATGGGGAAAAGGTAACTTAAGGAATTGAGGGGGAAGAGGAATTAGGTAAGTGAGAAAATGACTTCTGAACTTGGCACTAAGCTAAGGCAAGAATCTGTAAGTCAGACAAGAATGGAACTCGCTAGGATCTGAATCTGAGAAGGCTCTGCGTGGAAGAGATCTAATTTATCTCCCTCATACTTAAATGCAGATGGATTTTATTTTACACCAGTTTTGCTAACCCTTTAGCAATGTAGCAGTTAATGTGAGGGTTTTAGAATTAGACAGATCTGGAGTCGAATTTTTAATCTATCATTAAATATGAACTCAGGCAAATTTCCACATTTCATCATTTAAGAAATGGCTCTAGACATACCACCTTCCCATATGTATTCTGAAAAACAATTGAGATAATGTGTGAAGTGCTAGAGAATGTAGGCGCTGACCTGTTACTGTAGGTAATTATTATTTTCTCATGTCTTTCTTGGGTTTTGTGGGGTGAACTTGAAAATGTTAACTTGGTATTTTCATTCTGCTTTTAAACATATTAAAACATTGATGCCTTCTGTAGTGGTGTTATGCAATAAGAAAATAGTACCAGGTGATTTTTTTAAAAAGCACATTGGGAATAATAGATTTGAAATGACTTTATTCTGTGCAGGAATTCATCTAGCACATTTGACTTAAACTGTTTAATCATTTGACTTGACAATAAAGAAGACATCTGTAGAAAGAAAGGAAAATACGTCACATATTTAAAGAGTATTCGTACAACTGTGCCTTGGATTTTATGAATAAGTTAAATCTGTATTTTTAGGGAGAGAAAAAACGATAGATCAATTTCCCATTGATTTAGGCTCTCGTTAAGTGAGTGAAGACCCAAGTAGGGTCTCCTATTTCTTCTATCATCACACCAAGGTGTTTTGTTCAGAAAAATTACTTTTTCTGTTCATCATTTATATAAAGTAAATGACATCTCAATTATAGGCAATGCTGATTTTTAGGGTTTTGAATGTGTTAAGGTGTCATGAAAAGTTGTAAATGTAACACAATTATAGTGGAAAATAATGACTTCATATACTTAGGTTTTCTGTTTTGTTTTGTTGCAGGATGAGTAAGAGATACTTACAGAAAGCATCAAAAGGAAAACTGCTAATCATAATATTTATCGTAACCTTGTGGGGGAAGGTTGTATCCAGCGCAAATCATCATAAAGGTAAGCTGTTCTCTCTGCTTTTCGGCAGGTGATTCCCTTTAGCACAGACTTTCTTGTCTGTCTCATTTCCTAGGCCTGACTCTCCCCATCTGGTAACCCGTGATTGGTTTTAAGTAAAAATGCGAAGACTGTTGCCCATGGTGTCAGTAGGCAAAGTCTGATCACTTAAATGTTTCTCAGATCATGGCGAGGTGTGTTCAACCTTTCCCATCATTTCCATTTTTGACATAGGAATGTTAAAATGTGGAGGTGACACGTACTAAAGATGAGTTTCAGACTGCGGTCGTCCTTGTAGTGAAAGCATCTTTAATGATGTGTAACTTCACAGTGTGTACATGTATCCATTTCCTTGCATGGCTCTTTGTGGATCATGTTTTTTCATGCCAGAATACCTCTGAGCATATTTGGTCTCTCTCCCTAGTACGATGCTTAGCAAGCTCAGTTCTGCCATGAAACAACATGAGAATATTTATTTCATTCATGTTGGAAGCCTGACAGCTCAAGATTATGTCCCTTCTTTTTCCTGTATTGAGCAGAAGACTCGATATAATGAGTAACTATCTTTTTCCAGATGAATTAAAATGGGGTTATTTCTCAACTTTCCCTACCATAATCAAGTATTCATAACCTGAATCGTCGATTTAGATCTTTCTGTGAAATACGATTTTCCAATCCAGGTTTGAGTTCTGTGAAGTGCCGAGACTAGAACCTGATTTTCTTATCTTTGGGTAGAGAGGGAGTTAGGAGTTGAATTCAGTAACACTGACGTTGGTTACACATGTGCATTTAATTATCATTATATGGAATATTAACACCATGGAGAGGGATGATGCGGTGTGAAGGAGTGATGTTATAAGACAAATCTTTTCCCCTGTATTTAAGAACAAAAAGAGACATGTTTTGATAAGACAATTTTATGAAGAGGTCTTTTGTGTTTCATAACCCTGTTTTCATCCCACCGTGTGTGTGGTAGTAGCAGACATTAGTTTTCTTTTAACAGAAAACCTTATTCCCCGGGCCTCCCAATTGGCAGCAAGGATGTGAGACTTAGGGCAGTCATGTTAACTATGGCCTTTTTTTTTTTTAATTTAAATTTTATTTTTATATTCCCCATACAATTACAACCCCCTTATTTTGACCCCAAGCCCTCCTTTCCCCTCCCCCACCCCCCCATAGAGTGTCTCTGGTTCATAGTTGTTTGTTGATTTTGATTTTCACTTTCTTATAGTTATTCTTTTTCCTGGTCCCTTATTTAGGTTTTCTAGATTCCTGCTATGAGTGAGACCCTCTGGGATTTTTCTTTTTCTTTCTGGCTTATTTCGCTGAGCATGATCCCTTCCAGCGCCATCCATGTTGCTGCAAATGGCATGTGTTTATCTTTTTTGAATGCTGAGTAATATTCCATGGTGTGTATGTGCCACATCTTCTTGATCCAGTCATCTATTTTGGGGCATTTGGGTTGTTTCCAAAGCTTAGCTATTGAAAATAGAGCTGCTATAAACATAGGGGTGCAGGTGCTCTGTGGAATTGATGTTTCTGTGTCCTTTGGGTAAATACCTAGGAGTGGAATTGCTGGATCCTATGGAAGCTCTATGTTTAGTAGGTCCAGAAATCTCCACACAGCTCTCCATAGTGGCTGGACCAGTTTGCACTCCCACCAGCAGTGCAGGAGAGTTCCTTTTTCTCCACACCCTCGCCAACATTTGTTGTTGCTAGTTTTTTTTTTAATATGTGCCATTCTCACTGGTGTGAGATGGTGTCTCATGGTAGCTTTAATTTGCATTTCCCTGATGACAAGTGATGTTGAACATTTTTTCATATGCCTGTTGGCCATTTGCATTTCCTCTTCAGAGAAGTTTCTTTTTAGCTCTTCTGCCCGTTTTTTGACTGGATTATTTTCTTTGTTTTTGTTGAGTCTCATCAGCTCTTTGTAGATTTTTGTGATCATCCTTTATCATGAGTGTTGTGTGCAAAAATGTTCCCCCAGTCGGTGGGGTTTCTCTTTAACTATGGTCTTTTACAAAGAGTTGCAAAATGCTGGGATGGCCCCACCTTGGGCTTACAAGAGAAAACACAGCCTCTCGGGTTTCCAAAAGGGTGTCCCCCATGCGCTCTTCCAGCCTGTAACAGGAGAATCGAGGGAAATGGAGGGATTCGTGGCAATAGTGGTTGTCAGCTGTTGAAACCTTAAAAAAGGTTCACGGTAAAGCTGCTTTTTCACCTCCACAGCCAGTGGTGGGATCGCAGAGAATCGCTCACAGAGACTGCCCCACGGTGAATATTGTGTGCAATTTCAAAGCTCCTTTAAAGAAATTTTTATGTTGTGTTATGGCCTATGCTAACTTCAAAACTGAGATATTTGTTTACTTCTTGCCAAGAAAATACTTCTTGGGAATAGATTATGCACGATGTCAGAAAACCTACTAAAAGTGCCAGCGCCAGGACATTACAGGAGATGGAGGTGGCGTTGCTTGCTCCTCCATTTCTACCCGGACTCCGACGTTTCAGATGAAGATTTTAGGAAAAATTTCTCCCTTGCTTCCACTTTCCTTCCCTCCTCCTCGTCTTTCTTCCCTTTATGTATCTCATACAGAATGCCCTTTAGAAAACTATTTCACAGTTAAACCGTAAGTGTAATGTGTACGTGTAAGTTGTAGGACATGTAGATACAATGAACACCGGGTGCTCACCCCCCCCATTGAAAATGCGGAATGTCTGGTCTCTTGAGGCTGCCTGAGGCTGCCGCTCCTTCCCGAAGATCATCTCCAGTCTGAATTTGGTGGTTGTAATTCCTTGGCTTTTATTTATAATTCCATCATGTATTGATAGATCTCCAAATGGCATATTGCTTAATTTTGGTGGTTATTGGATTTTCATAATAGTATTATACAAAATGATGTAAGAATTATAGGAAATAAAATATTAAAAACAATGCTATTGCATGCATGGAATAAAACCAAGTAAAATATAAAAAAAATATATTTTAAAATCTTGTGTAGGAAGATAGTTTGCTTTATTTCAAATTATTTATAATGGCATACCTAAAAAAGGTAAAAATTTTTGGTGAATACTTCATAATGTTTAATATATTATTGCATAAATCTTTGAAATTTTATTAGTGGAATTAATTTGCACAAGCATGGGTAAGATGGAAAATAGATATTCTCAATTAAGATAAAAAATTTTAATATAGATTCTAAGGTCTCTAGGCACATTTAAAATAAAAAGACATATAACCTGGGATTCAACAGCATTAAAAAATCTTGAATACAGTATAGTATTATACTGTATTTTTCTGTAATTTGCATAACAGCAGAGTTGCAATATAGCCCAACAATGTATTTGTGACATTCATTGTAGTTGATGGCGTGTAAGCTGTAGCTTATTCATTATTTTTGCCATGGCTCCACATTTTATAGTATGAAGTCACCACAGTTTTTGCATTGATGTTTGGTGTCCTATTTTCTTGCCTCTGTGAACAAGGCTTTTGCGAACATTTGGACAAGGTGCACCTTTGCAAGTGTTCATCATGAGCACATTTCTCGAAGAAAAATTACAAGCTCTGAGGGCATGCCAAGCTTCTGTCTTACATAATGCCACGTGATTTTTCAGGTGTTATTCAAGGTGTTTTCTTACTGTTTGCATTTTGCGCTGAGTTTGTAGTTAACATCTTCCACGGTTGTGCGAACAGTGCTCACCTTGCCATGCTCACTGAAGAGTGCACTTCTTAATTAGCTTCACCTGAGTTGATCAAGGTCATTAATTCTCAAAGGATCAACTTTTGCCTTTGTTGAACCTATCATTTATATCTTCTTGTACTTAATTACTGTCTACTCTTTATTATTTCATAATTTTATTTCTTTACATGACAAACCTAAGTTATACTTAGTGGATGCCAGGCACTCATGGGGAAATGAATCCTCCCTGAACTTCTCAGTGGCCCTGTAGAGAACTCTAGCCTCCTGAGACATTTCACACACCAGGAGGATTAGGTCAGTAGTCATGTGTTTAGTTAATCAATTGACCAACCATTGGTTTAGTTACTGGACAATCATATGCTATCTCAAGTATGGTTCATTTGTATAATTAATTAGGTTGGTTAATAAAATGTTAATAAAATTCCTCTTGTCTTTCCAAGATGACTAAATGGTTGTAGTTTGGATTAATTCCTTATGGTAAGTCTTCATGGTTCCAAAAAGATTGGGTCACTAATTCCCTACATACAAAATGCAGACCGATAAACCAAAGGGTTTATTGGACCCTTTGAAAGATTTATTTACATATAAAGTGTTAGAGTGAGTGCCTTGGATCATTTCTATCCATCTCAAGGGATGAAATGATTTTCCTTTTCTTTCAGCATGGACAGGGAATGACTGTCTCTCTCTCTCCTATAAATAAATGTAAAAAAATCCATTGTTCTGTCATGTTCAGATACTTATGGAGAACATTTGACCTGGGTTTCATCACATATAAGGGAGGCTGAGTCCTTTTTATTGTGAGATAAAAAAATAGAAATAATTATTACTTATAATGAGTATAAGGTAATTAGAAATCAGTCAGCAGTCAAGTTGAGATGCCTATAATTCACCAATTGATGATAGCAGATTCGTTGACTATCAACTTTTTAAAATATGTATTATTCCTCTTATAAGGCACTTGTCTCAACAACTCTGCCTAGAAATATAAATCTTTTAATAATTGTATTTAGGCCTCAGGGACAGAGTGGTGGTGGTAAGAAATTTTAGGTGTTAAATTCCAATTCTTTCATATCTTGAAGACCTGAAAAAATGACACACACACATGTATAGATATGTATATATATGAATGCAGGTGAATGCATATATGTGTGTATCTACCTTTTATACATACGTACAAACCTTATTTGAATAAGCACATGATTGTCCACTAACTCAAATCAATGGTTAAGCCAATTATTATCTCTTTTTCTAATTTGAAAATAAAAACAAAAGCAACAACTGTCTGTGATTGGAGTACATTGT